CAACTTAGTGAGTTTGATAGAGGCCGTATAGTGGGACTTCGGGAAGCTGGACTTTCTTTTCGGGCAATTGCAGTTAGAATGCAAAGAAGTGTAGACACTGTGGGTAGGTGTTGTCAGGCATGGCTTCGAGAAGGCCATACGCAAAGAGCAAGGGGCACTGGACGCCGCCGTAGAACAACAGACCGTGAAGATCGCCGCCTAAGATTATTGGCTTTAAGGGACCGTTTCTCCACTACTAGGTCCATTGAAAATGAATGGTTTGCAGAACACGGAAGACCTATTGGCATGCGAAGTGTTTGCCGACGAATGAGAAGTTTTGGCTTGTTTTCATACTGGCCACACTGGGTCCTCCCTTTAACTCGAGAACACCGACGTAATCGCCTTGAGTCGTGCAGACAACGGTCACTCTGGGATCAGGAATGGAACAGTATTGTCTTTAGTGACGAGTCTCGATTTTGTTTAGGCATGCACGATGGTCGTGCCAGGGTTAGAAGGCGACGTGGTGAAAGGAGGAATCCACAGTTTTTTGTTGAAAGACATGTTCATCACACTGTTGGAGTTATGGTTTGGGGTGCTATAGCTTATGGTTCCAGGTCACCTTTAATCTTCATCAGAGGTAACATGAACGCGCAGCGTTATATCCACGAAGTTCTAGAACCCCATCTTTTACCCTATCTTGACTCCCTGGCAGATCCAACTTTCCAACAAGATAATGCCCGACCACATGTTACAAGAGTCACAACAGACTTCTTTCAACATAATGATGTCACATTGTTACCATGGCCATCAAGATCTCCCGACTTATCCCCAATTGAACACGTGTGGGATATGATGGGTAGGAGATTGCTCAATTTGCAACGTCCTCCTCAGACTCTAGAAGCACTTCGACAGGAGTTGGTGGTTGCCTGGAATGAGATACCACAGGAGGACATTGACCACCTGATCAGAAGCATGCCTGGGCGCGTTGGAGAATGCTCAGCACATCAGGGTGCATCCACACATTATTAAAGGTCAAAGGGCTTTAAAGCAGTGCAATCATTTTAAAATTTTTATCATTTACTTATTATGCTTCATTAAGTACTTATACAAAATTTTATTAAAATAAAACCATTTAAACTAGGTATTCGGATTTATATGTCATTTAGTATACTTCATTGGCAGCATATTTAGTAATGATTTTCTCACACAACAAATATCACTGATTTTATACACATGCAGACCAATAATACACATAATCATCCAGATGTGATTTTGCTATTGAACCAACTTTCTCCTCAGAGATAAAAACTACAGGCAAGGACTATTTGGCCTCACAAAACGTATGCAACCAATAATGCGTTTAGTTAGTTGAGTGATTCCTCCTTAGGACGTTCACAACGATCCTAGTGAACAAACGTGGAATGACTGTTTGCGCCCTAAAAACTACCTAGTCTGTAAGATGACATCTTAGAGGTTTTTTTGACGTTTTATAGGTTTTTTACATGATACCCATGTGGGTATTACGTATGTTAAAATGTGACGATATATAAATTTTTTGTCATACTGTTTTTTTTGACATTATTGAGATTTTTCGACCAGATGTTATCTTATCACTAGCTGATGGACCCTTTTTAAACTCGTTTTGTAGTTGTACGTGTTGCCTAAACATCATGAGGCTTCAGTAATCAATGTTTGGCTATGATCTGCTTCAGAGATGGCACTATATTGGAGGTCTAAGCTGTAAGTTGTATACTATAGACTATAGCTGGAAGGAAACGGCAGTGAATAGGGGCATAGTGAGGATGTGTGTACTAATAATATGTTTTGATGATAATTCCATTGGTTTCTTATCTCAAATAGACTTGCTTGAGGTGTATTCAAAACTTGAAATTAATTGCGCATCCACTTTCTCTTATTCAACCTGGAAATTAGATAAGCAAATTTGCTGAATTTCAAAAATGAGAGAGATAACAAAAATACTTAGTTGGTGAAGTAACAGGTTACAAAGTGCTATAGACAGGAATATTTATGAAGGTGAAATGGTTATTACATTTTATAGAAATTTATTTTGCTATGTTAATAGAAAATACAAATCAGCGTCTAGATACCATTCCTGATTTTTCTGTGATGTGGCTTAATTGCACACAACGCGGGCGCGGTGGCCATTTTCCGTGAGTTTTTGAAAACAAAAAAAAAACAGGAGAAATCGTAATTTATAAATTTGAACGTAACCTGTCTTCAGAAATGACAGCATATAAATAACCCGTCGGGTACAGCTAATACATATACTTCATTGGTAACATATTTAATAATAATTTTCTCACATAGGAAATATCACTGATTTTATACAGATGCAGACCAATATACAATCATTCAGATGCGATCTTGCTACTGAACCACCAACTTTCTTTGTTTCACATCTTCTCAGATAAACACTACATACTACTCGGCTTCACAACATATATACCTGATTTCTGCAACCAACAATGCGTGTAGTTGAGTCATTCCTCCATAGATGGAGCCTGACAGCGAACATAGCGAGCAAACGGCTAAAATAAGTCAGTCACACAACACAAAATGTCAGTAGGAATCTTCCATCAACATACAGAGGTATTATGGATATACAATTTGGTTTTTTAAAGCTTGATGTTGTATTCAACAAGGATATCAGTATACCTACAAACTGATCGTTATTCGAAAGCCTTGGTCACATTACGATTTCAAATAACTGATAATTAAAAAGTAACAATACAGATATCACAGATATTCAAAAATAACGATATCGGCCATCTCTAATCATCATTTGCTTCGAGAATATCCACATGTGTTTATACCATCTCGTGGCAAAAAGACATAATTTTTGCCTTGGCCGTTTCGCATTAGTCTTTTTAAGGTCAGTAACTGCGAGGTTGAGATGGTAGTTAAGCGTCTATTAAATGACGCATGAGTTAATATCCGCTTGTATTAATTAATCTACCATAATAGTCCACTCTTAGAACAAATATAGGAAGCGACTGAAGTGCGATTTAAAGATCCGGCTTTGTTATTTCAAGTTGGATTAAGGTTTGCACTTCATTGTGCTTTTTAGCTAGATCATACTGCGTTACATGTATGTACTTCCAATACTTTGTTAAATAATAATCTTCAAGGAACCTAAGATACAAAACTGATATAAATCTTAGTACGGGTTCAGGTCTGAACTTAGTTACTCTATAGGGTGGTTGAGTATGTAACATGCAGACGTTCAAGCTCCATTAGTATTCAGGGTGTGGTATAATTTTCGACATCCGACATGCATTTAGCGCTTCCCAGTCTATCGAAACAGCAACAGTTGGCTTTATTAACAGCGATTTTGATAGATGTGTTGCAGGAGTATATTCCGATTTTTTTGATATTATGCATATATCTTTTGTCGAGCATAAGCTGAATAAATCGGATCCACAAACTTTCTGCTGAAATTTATTGCCTCGTTCCTCTCAAATCGGAAACTCGTGATAGAAGTCAATGGCCGCTGCTCAGCCTCATACGATGTTCATTTAAGAGGTGCACAAAGATCGGTCCTGGCACCAAATCCCTTCATTGTATATATTAATGACTTGAAACTATTTTGTCATAATATCCAATACGCAAATGACACATCTGTAGTTGTGAGCACCGCAACACCTGGTCAACTAATATCTGCAGTGGAGAGCGTGTCAAATGAAATGAATGAGTGGAGCCAGAAAAACCGTCTTATACTGAATAACAACAGAACAGTATAATAAATAACAGTATGGTAGGCCACGCATACAAAATGATCTTTTCTAGGATAAGGCCGTTTTTCTTGGTAGCATATGGATGAAAGTGTAACTTGGTTGGAACACATAAATCACGTTTGCAAGAAAATCAATTCGTCATATTTTGTGATATTGAAATTAAAACAATGTTACCACATAGATACTTTCAATCACCTAGTATGCTCTAGTATATCCACATATTAGTAGCAATGCAATGTTATGGGGACAAACAAGTATGATAAGAAGAGATGTCATGCTGCAGAAAAGAGTTATTCGGTTTATTTTCAATATTAACTGAAGAGACTTTGTAAAGAAACTTTTAAAAGAATCAATCTGCTTTTATGATTTCCATATCATAGCACTACTCTATTCTAAAAGTCGCTCCTCATCATCTGCACCAAAATATGTAATAGTCTACCAACTGATCTCCGAAGATCAACCAATATCTGTCATTTAAAAAACCAACTGAGAAAATAACTTGTGGACAAATAAAGTATCCATCTATCTATCTACCTATATTGACGGAGACCAGACCTTTGGACATGGGATTGGAATTTTATAGCCACTTTCTATTTTGATAGAATCAATACCGTGTTCACTGTACAAAGTTTCATGATGATTCTTACTGTTCATTAAAGTACCAGAATGGAAGAGAATAATAGTACGCTCTTCCTTCGCAGTGTTTCTTTGTGTAGATTTGTGTGGAGAAAACGTCAATATAGTCTGTAGTTAGGTCGATATTTACAGCGATCTGTATTTATTTCAAAGTGTTCTAGGTCTTACGCATTCATAAATTATGAACACACAGCAAACACACTCTGAATGTCTTGAAAGCAACAAAAGATGAGTTGAAGAGTTTTTGATATCTGTGTATCTAGTTTCTCTGCTACCATAACTAAAGGAATCTGTAACATGAAAAAATGAAGCTGTTAATATGGATATTGGCACACCAGAAATGTCTGTTACTTTATCTGAAACGACCAGAAACTTAAGGACAAACTATTAAAAAACAACTCCGAGTTGACCTCCAAGGAAGGATATTTTGCCTACGTTAAAACTGATCGAAGACTTGATAAATAAAAAACTAGATCTGTGGATGTTTTGATGTTTTACTTACCACGCATACTGGCGGAGAAGTATTGTGTTCGCGAAAATTTTCGACAAGGAGATATGTTTTTTGGATGTTACAGACAACGTTTAAAAAAATGTAGAGATAAAAAACTTGGGGGTGGGTGGGGAGGGTTATCTCAACTTTGTGATGATAGTACATTTATTTGCTCCCAACCTTGGTAAGTCTATGCACCTAATAGATATATTTCACACACTGCGCTGCCACGTCTGACCGGGGAGATGTAACGTTTCCAGATACACTACCGGTAGGGCAGGGAAAGAATGTCTATGGACTAATTGCATAGACCTGTTTGACTGACCTTTTTCTCGAAGAGTCATAATCCTTCACGAACTGATAACGGCGTTTTTTTGTTATTAACTGCTTTAATTTAAATTCCAGATCCTCATCTATGAAGCAGAGATTACTGAAAGGCAAACATCTTCAGAGACTACCACATCGCATCCAGCGAGATGGGTACATCTATGATGAGAGCTGAAGACATTATCACCAAATTGCCGTGCGATACAGAAAGCGATGCAATGTTGGAAAGCGACTATTTTTTGTCAAATTATGGTATGTACTGAAATTTCTATACTGATAAATAATTGTACGAGTAATATATTGCAGCATATCGTTCAGTTATCATTGCTTTCCAGAAAGATCTACAAGGAACAAAAATTTTAAGATGGCGAGCAATTTTTAACATTTTTTTAAATGGAATACGGAGTTGTGTGATATCTAATTGTGAAGATCTTGACGAGTACTTCATAACACTGCAATCTAAAGTCACTACATTTAAAAATGACGAACTGGCAGGCTGTCAAAAGTTGAGCATTTTTTGTACATTGAATTGGTTATAATACAACAATTAATCATGAAAACGTTGTCGTATGTTATATCAATATTTTTCTTTTGGAAGGGTCTATTTGAATATGCAATAAAATACAAGATATTCTACTTGAAAAAAAAATACGAACTTTGACTTTTTTGCTTTTTGTTGATTGGTTGTTGAGTTATGAGCGATAAAATGTATAAAAACGTTCAAATTTGACAGCCTGTCAGATGGTTATTTTGAAATATATTTATTTTATATTGGACATGTAGTACTCACAAGAAGCTTCGAAATGTCTCTTCATTCTACTCAAAAATATAGCAAAAAGGGTTCCAGTCGCTATCTTGACATTTCAAACTGCCACTGTCACGCTAAAATATAGTATTCGTCCATCATTTTCATTACGTCGTTTCAGCTTCCTAACTACACTTATTTAACAAATAATTACGGAAGTCTTCTTGAGAAGCAATGTATACTAAGTGACATATAAATCCGAACACCCAGTTTAAATGGTTTTATTTTAATAAAAGTTGGTGAATGTATTTATCTTACTGTAAATAACAAGTGAAAAAATTTTCAGCCTTATCAGTTGGACATTCCGGTTTTTATACAACTTTTTTTTTTAATTCACTAATGCTCTAAAAATGAATATTTCAGCCGCATTAAAGAATCAACGTTGACGGATTTTGGTTCTTGACATCCTTTACGATCGGTTACGATGCCTAGAGTACGGAGACCTGTACGATTTCGTCAACTTAGTGAGCTTGATAGGGGCCGTATAGTGGGACTTCGGGAAGCTGGACTTTCTTTTCGGGCAATTGCAGTTAGAGTGCAAAGAAGTGTAGACACTGTGGTTAGGTGTCGTCAGGCATGGCTTCGAGAAGGCCGTACGCAAAGAGCAAGGGGCACTGGACGCCGCCGTAGCACAACAGACCGTGAAGATCGCCGCCTAAGATTATTGGCCTTAAGGGACCGTTTCTCCACTACCAGGTCCATTGCAAATGAATGGTTTGCAGAACACGGAAGACCTATTGGCATGCGAAGTGTTTACCGACGAATGAGAAGTTTTAGCTTGTTTTCATACCGGCCACACTGGGTCCTCCCTTTAACTCGAGAACACCGACGTAATCGCCTTGAGTGGTGCAGACAACGATCACTCTGGGATCAGGAATGGAACAGTATTGTCTTTAGTGACGAGTCTCGATTTTGTTTAGGCATGCACGATGGTCGTGCCAGGGTTAGAAGGCGACGTGGTGAAAGGAGGAATCCACAGTTTTTTGTTGAAAGACATGTTCATCACACTGTTGGAGTTATGGTTTGGGGTGCTATAGCTTATGGTTCCAGTTCACCTTTAATCTTCATCAGAGGTAACATGAACGCGCAGCGTTATATCCACGAAGTTCTAGAACCCCATCTTTTACCCTATCTTGATACCCTGGCAGATCGAACTTTCCAACAAGATAATGCCCGACCACATGTTGCAAGAGTCACAATAGACTTCTTTCAACATAATGATGTCACATTGTTACCATGGCCACCAAGATCTCCCGACTTACCCCCAATTGAGCACGTGTGGGATATGATGGGTAGGAGATTGCTCAATTTGCAACGTCCTCCTCAGACTCTAGAAGTACTTCGAGAGGAGTTGGTGGTTGCCTGGAATGAGATTCCACAGGAGGACATTGACCACCTGATCAGAAGCATGCCTAGGCGCGTTGGAGAATGCGTAGCACATCAGGGTGCATCCATACATTATTAAAGGTCAAAGGGCTTTAAAGCAGTGCAATCATTTTGAAATTTTTATCATTTACTTATTCTGCTTCATTAAGTACTTATACAAAATTTTATTAAAATAAAACCATTTAAACTGGGTGTTCGGATTTATATGTAACTTAGTATATGTATGCAAATTTCTCATCAGCAGCGCTACAAGTTCAGACAAGAATGACTGGTCAAGTTCCTATCAAAACATCGCCGTTACTAGACTGATTTTAAAAATCTACAAGGCGTTTTCGACCTTGGCATGGTGGTAACCATGAGTTAAAGTCAAAGATCTGAAAATCCGATGGGAACTTACCGGGTTATAGGGGGGGTCAATCAGAATGGAAACGACCAGAAATGACTGATATGGCCGTGACGTGCACGCCATGTAAGGTCTATAGACTACCGATCAGTAACATCAAATAAACCAATAGTATGTTCAAACCTATAGTCTAGACCAGGGTTTCCCAACCTTTGTTTTTGTTGAGGCTCCCCGGGCTATAGATTATATTTCCATGCCCCCCCCTCAATAAATACAAAAAAACGCACATTATATAGGTACAAAGACTTTTATTTTAATTCTAATAAAGAAACTTTAGAAGTTTAAATAAACTAATAAATGTTTTTTATTGAAAAAAATAAGAGTAGGTACTAATGAGACACTTGAGGTTGCATTTTCTGTACCAGTTGGTTGATTCTAGGTTCTGTTTTTGTCAGAGTTATCATCAGGTCGCTATCGACATCAAGACGAATTCACACTATTTAGTTTTAATTAAAACTAGAGCGGAAAAGCACACATAAGTAAGTTGAAGAAAAAGGAACTAGTATTCGTAGAGCAAGAGAGGCAAGTGTCGAATTAACGTGCAATCTTTTGATCCAACATTTCTCCAATGTTAAAAGATGGAAGTCATCGTTCATGGACGAATCAGCCTCCATTTCTAGAAATTCATCCTGAACTTCTTCTGGTAATTGTAACATATCGACAACAAATGGACTTCTTGTCATGTGGTATTGATGTCTCGATAGTATGGGCGAAATTCGTCTTCCAGCGCTTGCAAATGAGTTTTTATGTCAGCTTTTGAATTTGTGTCCAGTATGTTATTTTTAATTGCTTTGAACAGCCGAGAAAAAGATATAACATTTTCAGAAGACACTTTTTGATTCCAAAGTTGAAGCTATCATATGAACCCCTGGATATAATCATAATTGCTTATTATAGTGTTGTTTCTGCCCTGAAGTTTCAAGTTTAGCTCATTCAAGGAGTCAAGTATGTCAGTTAAATAAGCCAACCTCCATTGAAATGTGCCACCTTTGAACATTGTCAAGGAATCGTGCTTTTCTTTGAACTCAAGAAGAAGAATTACCTCTTCTTTCAATTCATAAAGGCGAGCCAACATGTTGCCTTTGGACAGTCAGCGTATTTCTGTATGGAATAGAAGAACTTTATGTTCAGAATCGAGATCCTCACAAAGTAAATTTAATAACCTACTGTTCAAAGCGCTGCTCTTGATGTAGTTTACAATCCTTATAGCCGAGTCCAAAGTCTGGCGAATTTCTGTGGCAATGTTTTGAAAGCCAAAGCTTGGCGATGAATAACAAACAAAACCTGTACTAACCATTGCGGGACTTTTTTCCCTGAGCTTTTTAGCTAAGCCCGGTCGTACACCTATCACTGCAAGTACGTCATCTGTGCAAAGTTCAATGAGTTTATTCCAATCCAAATCATTTTTTTCAACAAAATTTGATGTTGAATCAAATATTTCTTCAGATGTAGTACCTGCTGTCAAAGATTGGGAGTACAAAATCTCTTCTTGAATGATATCTCCGCCGATGTAACGAACATAAACTATTAACTGTGCACAATTAACGATGTAGGTGGATTCATCGCATCTAATGGCAAAAATGGCGATAATTTTACTTTGTTAATTATTTGTGACTTTATGACTGCTGCAATGTCATCGATTCTATGCTTGACTGTGTTATTCGACAGAGAATAGACTTCATTTTTTGCTCTGCATCTTCTCCTAAAATTATCTGGCTTTTAGGACACATGGTTTTATTAATTCTTCACCGATAGTATGAGGTTTCTTTTGCTTTGCTATCATAAAAGCTATTTCAAATAAAGCTTTGAGATGCTGCGATAAACCTGTGTGATAACTTCCCGATTTATCCAGTCTCATCCGCTTGAGTGATTCTGCTTTAAAAGAAAAAACTCTTTCGTCTTCAAAACCAGAGTACGATAATGATGCTTCAAATGCCTTTCAAGGCTATTGGGTCTCATGCTTTCACTACTTAAAACTTTCATACATATCACACACTAAGGCAATTGTAACTCGTCTTTTTCTATGAAGGTAAATCCAAACTTAACGAAATACTCGGAAAACTTTCTTTTTTTCGCTGCTATTTTGCACCTATAACAATAAAACAAATAAGTAATACATAAATAAGCAAAATACCTACATGTAATTACTAATTATATGCTCATTATTTTATCTTAATAACGTAATGTATTCAACAGTATATTGGCCACCGGAAGCTTTATATTTTTGTAGGCAGGATGGAATCAATATTAGCTACTTAAAGTTCGTCATCTCAAAATTATTTCGCCACGTTGGTTTGATTGTGATGTGGTAAAAAAGTCCCAATGGCCGATCTATGAACGCGTTTCCGCTCAATCAACAATTAGTAAATAGTAAATTAAATAAAAATGATAACTGAAGTTTGTGAATACACAAACTTACCTTTTAACAGTGAGACACAATAATTTGACAAACTCACACAGATTTCTCAACAAAACATGTACATCGAAACGTCAAATTTTTCGCAAGTTTGTAAGAATGAATGTTACAGTGACTTGTCGAAACTTGTATAAACTGCGATTGACGACGCCGGGTCTTGAAACAGCGGTTGACAGAATAAGTGAATATGATATTTAATTTCTAATTTTATGCGGGTAAATTAAACATTATATTGTAATGGTATCTGTTAATGTTGTTTGTTTATTATTTTGTTTTTCTTTCTAAAATGCAAACGCTTTCTGCCCCCCTTGACATCTCTCTATGCCCCCCTTGAGAGGCGCGCCCCCCTGGTTGGGAACTCCTGGTCTGGACAGATGTCCACACACACACCAGCGACAAATTCGGATACCTCCATCTCAAATTCTTCTTAATAACACTAAGTTCTGTGAAGTAAAATTCCTTTGCGGATTTTTGGCGTTCTTACCCGAAATATTTCTCACTAATTTTCGATTTCTGGGACCAGCGGATCCGCATTTTAGTGTTGCGGGTTCCCACAGGTTAATGAGTGAAACATGACGAGAGCGCCTAATTGGATTAAGGCCAAATCGAGAGGGATTGGGAATGCGTCGTATTACGGAGCTGCTAGAAATCAGGGCCATGTAACACAAACGCCGCAAGTTGTACAATTGTAAGCACTCGTAAAAAAGGATGTGTGTGTTTTCATAATATTGTTCAAAAAATGCATTTTATGTTCTAAAACAATCTGTTTTGCGGTCATTTTTCATTTTACACCTTATTGTCACGATATACAATGTGTTTGTCACGAAATACCGATATTTGAGGGGGATATTTTTCAGCTATTCAGCACAAAAAAGTACAACTTCACAGACTAGTTTTTGAATGATGTGCGGAAATGCACAAAAGAATCAATTTTCATCCGTATTTTTTCTGTTTTGTCTGTTTTTAAGTTTGACGGTTAGTATCAAAACAAGTTTTTCAATAATCGCTAGGGCAACATGTCATCGTTCAAATGACACCAAATTTATCATTCCGTGATACTTACGTACTCAGTTATTACAATTTTCATACATGCACTACCGTAATCGTAACGTAAGAATAAGAATGGCTGCCATTTCAAGGGGGATGAGGTAGGACATTGTAGGGGGGTGGATTTGTCGATAAAAATAGCTGAAAAATACCCCTCTTAAATATCGGTATGTCGTGAACAAACACATTGTATATGTCGGCGACAAATGTCGAAATCCGTCATTCCCTGAAATGCCTAGTCAGTCTCCGTATTGCTGGCAAGCACCAACACATTTTGATTATTACAATGTTTGAATAAGCATTTCAGTCATTCCCTGTAATGACTGAACAATTTCAGTCAAACACCGTAACAACCACATTAACCTTGTTACTACATTCGCCTATTTTAGTCAAACGCTGTAATCAATACAGTGTTGCTAAAATGAAATACATAATATAACAAGGTACTACTTTTTCGATAACATTAAAAGAAAAATGTTCAAGTATGAATTAATCTAAAAGGAAAGAAGAATAGATTAGATGTTGTTTTTATTATTACATTATTGTGGACATTAATCATTAATGTATTAAATCAACAAGAAGTATCCTGAAACTATCGAAAGAAATATAAAACAATAAATACACATTAAAAAAAGAAAAATGCAGAATTGCGAGTAGTGACAAACGAATAAAGGTTATTATATACATAAAACGTTATTTTTTAGCGCATTGAATTACAAAGCAGTTTTTTTTTAACAAACACATCTACATATTGGATAAACACTGCTTTTTCGTAGAACAGAAAAGACTATGTGTATACTCAAGCAAATGAACACAAAACTGGTACAATGAAAGACTGAGTCAGGCAAATGCAGTAACGACGTTAATGTGGTTGTTACAGTGTTTGACTGAAATTGTTCAGTCATTACAGAGAATGACTGAAACGGAGTCAAACGTTGTAATAATCAAAATGTTACGGTGTTTGTCGGCAATACGGGGACTGACTAGGCATTTCAGGGAATGACGGATTTCGGCGTTTGACGCCGACATATATACCTGCGATACGGTCCCCAATCACAAAATATATCCAAAATATGCTGCGACAAGTTACCAGAATTATTTTATACGTAGTGTATAGTAGGTACTTCATGAGCTTTTAAAGTAGGGTCTAAATACTTTGGGAGTTATTTAATATGTTGCCTTGGGTCGCTGATAAAACCGTAGCAAGATTATTTCGAATGTCAACCTTGCCAAATAGTGACGGACTTAGGAATCTTTTTTGGGGAGGGGGGAGGTGGGTTGAAGGATCCATGTTCAGGAGGATGTTCATCACGGCGATTGAAAAATTGAGCACATGCCTCCACCATTCAAGTATGGCAAGGTAATTTTCGCACCAAGGTACAGCAATGTACCATTTTATTGAAAAAAAAATGGCAAGTTTGGGCGTCTAAGGGCGACCAGACCCCCTCTAAATCCGCTAATGATGACAAAGTACGAGGGATGTCTTTTAAGTTTTGCATATGGAAAGAAAACAACACGGTATGTAGTTTTAAATGACTTTATTGTTTTTCGAACTATTCTCCACGATCAATACACATCTGCATGCGCTCGAACCAATTTTCGAAGCACTTATTGCACTCGTTTGCTGGCAGATCCAAAAAGGCATTTTTGAATGCGTCAACTACTACTACTACTACTACTACTTCTTCTGGTGACTGGAACCTTTGACCACGCAGTCTGTTTTTAATTTTCGGGAAAGTAAAGAAATCGTTAGGACTTAGATCGGGACTATATGGAGGAAGGTCCAATAATTCCACGTTTTCTTCCGTTAAATACTGCCTTGTTTTTTTGGCTGTGTGCGAGCTTGCATTGTCTTGGTGACGACTTTTGGCAAACAAATGGTGGTATACCAATCCGCAGTAACAGTTCTTTGCTCATTAAGAGGAATTGTTGCAATATGACCCGCTTTTGACACAAATGTCGCGACCATCTTTTTCGAAACACTTCGAGAACGGATCACTTTTGTTTGCTTTTCTTCAACTTGGAACACCCAAACAGCCGACTGCCGTTTATTTTCTGGTTCATAACAGTCAACAAGTGGGGTATCTAGCGAGAAACTAATTTTCTTACTCCTAATTCTTCATGTAAAATTTTTTGAATTGAGGTCTTTGAGATATTCAAGGACGCCTCAATCTCGCGATATGTCACATGTCTATCTTCAATGATGAGTTTGCGCACAGCATCGACGTTTTCCTGGGTGACCGTTTTTGGTGCAGCCACCCTGGAATCGTCGCTAAGACTCACCCATCCACGTTTGAATTCTCTATACTAACGGGAAATTGTCGACTGATGTGATGCTTCATTGCCGAAAACAGGCAGTAACTCAGCAAGGCATTCTTGTTGCGATAATTGTCTCTGAAAGTTGTAATAAATTAGGGCGCGAAAATGTTCTCGGTTGAGTTCCATTTTTCTAATGACTTGGTGACACTTAAAAATTCACTGTAGTGAGAACACTGCACGTATTGTTGTGAAACTTTGAATTTAAGTTTACTAAAGAGTGAGGTTAAGATTCAGTGCTGACGTTCGATCCGCACGGCCTACTATCTTTCTATATGCAAAACTTAAAAGACATCCCTCCTACGAAAGTATTTTAGCATTTTGATATATTTTGTTCCAGTTAGATTTCACATAAGTAATTAATGCATACTACTTTCCAGGTTCACAAAATTCTTTATGCGTGAGTTCAAAATGCACCGATGTGAGCGTCGAAAGGATAGATGGATCTTTAGGAATAACATTACGAGGCGGTTTGGTTCCAGATAACCCCCACTTGAGCAGGCCGCTAATAATTACGCAAATTCGGAAGAATGGATCAGCTCACAGGTGGGTATACATTCGAAAAGTCCAACTAACTAACAGAAGTACCTACCATTTTTCCATATTGATACAACCACAATTACAGTGCATGTAGCTAACATTATGATTCAGTTCAATAATCTTATCAAGCCAGACAAAACAGCAAAAGCATTGCGAGTTTACAGAAAAATTACACAAAGCTGACAATTGATACATACCGCATGAGTAATATAATAAAAGTCCTTATACATCCCTATAGCGCAATCTAGTTTCATTTGGAATTAAATGTCAAAAATATCACGTTTTGGCGTATTTCTTGAGAAGGGAAAATGATACCACAAAAATACAAAAATATTACAAAATACGATTATCTGTATAAGTCATTGAAGGCATTTTTGTCTCCTAAGTAAGTCATCATTTATGAGATATAGAAATCTGTGGTTTCCACGGTACTCTTCTGCTCATATGTGGAAATTTGAAAAAATGGTAATTTTAACATGTTGCTTCCAATAGAAAGTATGGATGGGAACTTTTAAAATAATAATTGTTATAATATGTTGAAGGCCTGAGTCAATTTTTAAGTAGGTACGAATTTTTTGCAATCCACAAAAACACGCATCATTTTCGGCAATTTTTCAGAACACTTTTATATTACGTTTTCGCAGAAAAATACGAATTTAATGCGAAATGACAAACTTGAGTCTTAAGCTTAATCGAATTGTAGTTACTCACTTGCATTCTGATTACTGACTAGGTAATTACGGATCAAAACAAACTGCATGTTAGCTTATTGGGCACATCTAAGGCGCTGAAAGTCATTTCTAAGAACTTCCAAAGCACAAGAAAAATGCAAAGAATATTTTTTTAAAAATCCGTGCCGGGAAAACTGAATATTCTGGTTTCACAAAATCTTGCCACTGTAATTCATTTTGTAGAAAAAAATATATATTCGTAGTGACGTTCTTCATACTATGTTCATGTGCAGCTACTTAATGCTCAGGCCTTTTGTTGTGCGGACCTTGATACAGATGCCGAGGCACATCTCTGGTTAATAACAATATAATAATAATTGTATTTATTTGTGACATCCATATGTGTGTACACTTAAAAACAAAAATCAATTCAAATAGCACACAAGTAATCACTACGTGTCTACTCAAGACCTATACTTACTAAGACATTTTAAAGTATTATTCACTAAGTTATTGAAAAGCTATTTTCCACTGTCTACCATCCATTTCTTTATTTGAGTCTTAAATCTCGATACTGATATTCTGATATTTCTAAGATTTAGAGGAAGCATATTTTTAATTTTGGTGCACGATGAAAAAGTGCCTCTGTCCTACAGATTAATTTCGTCGAGGGAACCCATGACAACGTCCTTTGTGATGTATTTGATAAACATGCGAAATACTTTGCAGTTTAATTTGTCTGCATGGATACTCTTTAGTATAATAAATCAGTAGGTTCGCCGTATATCAAGAATGATCAGCTGCATCCGATGATACCATAAGTCAGCTGTGATTGAACCAATGCTGTGTACAGTATCAAGTCGTATATGTTTAGGAAACCTTTCAGAAGCCTGAACCTTGGAATCAGGCCTCTAAATTTTTTGCAAATATATGAAGTGTATGAATTCCATCTCAAGTGCTTGTTCACTATGTTAGTGTAAGATGTGAATGTCATATATTTTGTTTTATCACAACTTATTGTTAATTTTTTGAATTCCATGAGTCTGATGTATAAAATACAACGGTGTCATCTGCAAAGCTTATTACGAGTATATGACTTTGACTATTTTTCGAAGGAGACTGTCTATCTAAGCCGCGAATAACAGCGCCCCAAAGACTGTACCCTGCGGAACTCCACAAACACCATTCACACCAACAGCCTGCTTCCGGTATGTCTAATAACTTGTTGACAAATCTTTACCTTTTCCTCTTATTCCATCAACTTCTTGTTTGGCTATTAGCTTACTATGACATTCTCTATCAAATGCCTTGGATAAGTCAAGGAAAATGCACAGAGCTGGTATTTTTTATCTAATGCGTGAAATATATATATATGAGATGTGAGTTCCAATATCGTATCTTTGTTGACCACTTCTCTCTGAATCCATACTGATGTTTCTAAATGATCTCATATACTTATTGAAAAATGTTGCTAAGCGGATTTTAATAATTTTTTCAATAATTTTTTACATGTATGTATGAAATCAAGGATATTAGCCTGTAATTGTTTATATCTGCTTTTGAACCACTTTTATGTAAATATTTGATCAGCCCAAGTTTCAAAATATTTGAAAATACTCCTTTTTCAAAACAAAGAATTATCAGATAAGTTATAGGTACAGTATCTTCATCACTATTTGTTTCAAAGTGTCTGGGTGGAGGCCATCAAACCCAGGCGAATTCTTTGTTGTTAGTAATGAGTAATTAAATAATTCTGATTTTGAAAACTGTGGGAAAATGTTGTGTGCAAATTGGTAGTATTTATTTGTGTTCCCAAAACCAAACTTGTGTCTACTGGGATAATAATAGTAGTATGTTCGTTATTAGCGATATATATATATATATATATATATATATATATATATATTATTCATAGTTAATTGCCTTAACTGTTAGAAGATATCCTTTAATTTCTTAGGGTAGAAGGCAAAGTATTGCAAAAGTACACTCTATAACTTAAAATCTCAAGCTTTCGAAGACTTTTTTCTTCATCGTGTGGAGTAAGTCAGCGAGTTTGTTGCTGAAATTGTTTTTTAAACAACAGTGAAGGGAACACATAGTCGACGAATAAAAAACTGGACCGATGAGGTTCGATTAGGACGGAATTATTTTATTGTTAAATGGCAAATCAGTTTCAATAGTTGATAGTTTCAAAATCTTCAAATTTCTTCCAAAATCAATCTCCGCCTAATTTTAATTAAAATGATTTGCCATTTAACAAAAAATAATTCCGTCCTAATCGAACCTCATCGGTCCAGTTTTTTATTCGTCGACTATGTATTCCCTTCACTGTTGTTTAAAAAACAATTTCAGAAATAATCTCGCCGACTTACTCCAGACGATGAAGAAAAATGCTTCGAAAGCTTGAGATTTTAAGTTATAAGAGTGTACTTTTGCAATACTTTGCCTTCTACCCAAAGAAATTAAAGGATATATATATATATATATATATATACGTATATATATAAAGATGCACATAGGCTAGCTTTACGAGGACAAGTATTATTTCTTAATCGACTGTTTATTCACTTTTCTAGAACTAGCCTCATTCGTGTCGGCGACCGACTCCTCAAAGTAGATCATCATTCGCTCATCAATAAGACTTTACTGGAAGCCCAACAGATCCTGAAGGATTGCACTAAGGATGGGGCCAGGGGTATTAATATCCTAACGATCGAATTCGATGTGAGTGTGATGGAATCCGTGAAGTACGCTAATGGACCTCTATTGCTGGAGATTGAGAGGCAAGAGGAAGAGGAGTTTGGTGTCACGGTAGGGAGTTGCTGCGAAACCGACCCGGACGATGAGCTTTCCTGTAAGTTGAATCAGTTGAATTTATTTTATGGTATCAAGGTTATAACATAAGATTATAGAAATAATCATAATAATGCCTTCATTCAAAAAATGATCATAGTGTTGCTAAGTTTAGCCATGGCTACTCTACCACTCAACCATACTATAAGCCGTCATCACAAAGCACTAAGATAACAGCATAAATCGGACAACTGTAAGGAGTGCATTAAAAATAAGTTAATATAGAATATCAACATATAGAAAGAATAGAAGCAATAGAACATGTCATTCAGAAAACTGTAAGTGCAACTTGACTGTCTCATTGAAGCTCGGCAAGCTTACGGTCTTATAGTTAGCTGGTTAACAATTATATACCTTGACCGCAATATAAGTAAACCGTTCAAAAAATGACGTACGATGTATAGGAAAGAAGATTATTGTGCCGCAGATTAAGAGTAATTTGGTTTCCACGAGGAATCAACTTGCCGAGTAAATAAACTGGTTTACCAAATATTCCATGCATCAACGAAACCATGTAACCATTGAATAAACTATCAATTCTGAGCCACTGTAACTCCTTGATTTTTGAAGAAACTCAACTATACGAGTTTTTCCTAAGACCAAATATGAATCTGCAGCAGTTGTTCTGAAGCTTCTGCAGTTTTTACTTGCAAACCGAGTCTTGACATGGGTAAATGAGGACTGGAGAGTAATCTAAAATTGACAATATGCTTTCACACAACTTTTCACCGCACTTAAAGTTTAGAATATGGTCATTAGAATATAAGACCTTCATCTTCATATAACCCGACATGATACTATTCACATGTACTTTAGATCTAAGATTTGAATCAAATGTAACAGCTAGATTCTTAAAATTATCAAAAAATGGAATATTAGCGTCGTTGATAAATAAGGAGACTCGATTGGTTATATTGTAATTGCAATATTTAGGACAGTATGGTACAGCCGCACATTTTGATGGATTGACGCGGAGGCCTATTACAATACTGTAATACGTTATATAGATCCAGGTTAATTTTATACGATGCTTCATGTTAATTGGACACCTTAAAATGAAATGTTAATTATGTATCGTGAGCATACATTTGCAGATCAAACGTGTATACTAGGAATAAAAGAGTTCGCAGTACTGAACCCTGAGGACACCCGATGAAACATATTGTGCAACAGAAGTTCCTCTAGATGTTTGAACTTTTTGTATGCGATCAGTTAGGTAGTATCTGAAGAAATTCAAAGGAACTTCTGATATGCCATAATACTTTAGCTTACTCAGAAGGATCTTCTGATTGACGGTATCGAAAGCCTTCGAAAATCAAGCATGACGAAAAGCGTACCGGATTTTTCATCAAGGTTGTGAAATATCTGATGTGCAAGGTGTAGTAATGCAGTAGCCGTACTATGACCCTCACGAACACCAGTTTATTGTACTGGAAAATTATTATTGACAAAATACCCAACGAGCTCTTGGTATCTCTTCTAAGTCTTTCGATAAGAAACAAAAGCCACTTATAGATAGATCTAAGTTCATCATGTTCAGATATTTGGCTAAATGTGTGACAAATATTTGAATGCTATGTCTGTATGTATCCATGTTAGTGTTTCTCGAGAACACACATCTAGTGAGCGGTTCATAGCTAAGTTGTATTCAGTGGCGTAGCAAAGCGCGGGCAGAGGGGCTTGTACGCACCTGGCGTCACCTATTAAGGGTGTCATTAATTAATTCAACCACGGAAAAAAATAAATCAAGAAAAAAAAAACTAAATCGATACCGTTATCCATAATCATCAATTTTACTTACTTATTTACGTCTTTTGTAAAATAAATGAGCTTTAAGTCAGTTATTTTAAAAGCGAAGTGTTTTACAAAAAGTGGAAAATATATCTTGAAAACTCCAAGCAACTAGAACATTGCTTTTAGAACGGTTACGAGGTTAGCTTGATTCATGGCTCTTTTCTCACCAAGTTCGAAGGATTGAACTCGGTGTCGTCAAACTTGACAGAAACACCGTATAAGTATAGCATATATTTCAGATCAGGTAAAGGATACTATGTCCAATGTGGAGTTGAACTACAAACGAGATCCCTAGGGTGTTCTCAGTATTTGGGACTATCAGAACGAATCCTTTGCATTTGCACTTCAGAACTTAAACTAAGGATATCAAAACTCACTGACTCTTAGTGAAAGTATCAGAAATAGGATTATTATCGGAGACATTAAGGCTGGAAAGCCATTCAGAGGCGAAACATTTTTCAGCTTCTGATTGGCTATTTCTAGACTGTTCGAAATTCATTGTGCAGTGGGATTTTACAGAACCCCTTCCAAAGTTATGCTAGCACTAGAGCTAATTATGACAATTCCCGTGACAGTAACTTCATGCGAAAGGCATTTTCATAAGTTAAAAAAGTAGTAAGAAAAACTACTTGCAGGCAATAATGACCCCAAACGACTTTACAAGCTTGGGGTATTAGCCATAGAACACGAAGCAATACAAAATGTACATATTGTGTGTATTTGCCTTTTTTAGTGTTTAAATAAAATAATAGATGGAGTTATCATATTTTCATTGCTATTAATATTTGGAGGGATGATGCCATCTTCATCCGCGCCGGGTGCCAATCGCTGTATTTTCAATTTTTGGCTTCTTATTAAAATATTTTTTGGAATCGTTAACTTTTTGTAAAGAAGCGTACATCTGGTTTATAATTCATATATTCCCAAATATCTCTAATACATTTTACTGCTGTTGTTGAGATTCATAATTTGTTCAATTAATTTCTTTTCTTTCCTTTCATTTAGTTTTCTCGCGCATTATGCGCTTAGAAGTTTTCACTGGCGGTTGCGCATGAGCGGTAACCACTAAGTGCAACCATTAATATTAGTATCAAGAGTACAAAGTTAAGTACCGCCCGCATCTTCTCGCTATCATTGACATTCCCGCTATACGCCTTAAATTCCTCGAGCTCAGTGATTAACCGCTTTTTCACCCTGCTTTGAGCCGCTTCTTTAAGCCCGCATTAAAACACGCACAATCTGAAAACATTGACAATACTGTCAAGGTAAGTGGTCCTCCAAAGCGTCGCTTTTTCCAAATTCTTTGACAGTTCACTAGATCTCCACAGTAGGTGGTCCTTTACACCTTGGCTATCTAAAAAATATTCTATGATACATGTCAAACATCTATGTAAACTTTTAGGCTTGGCAGAAATTGAGTGTGCGTAAAATTAATATGAAATTAAGTAGAAATCCTCTCCAAGATAAAAATAGCTGGCATTAGTTTTTAATCAAAAGCTATATTTAGCTTCTCATAACACGGTTGCTTGGGGGAACTATTAAACTTCTAATCAATTTATTAACAAACGCTTTCAGTCCCGCATATATCTCTCAATTTAAAAAAAGATTTTATAGTACTGATACATAAACCAGGAAAAAATCCGATGGTAACAATTTTATCGACCAACATCACTAATATACAGTACAGCAAATGTTTTTGAAGAAGTCTTATCTACTACAATGTTTCGATACTTGGACGCAATAATTTAATTCAAATTTAAATCAAATACATCAAAATGCTCATAACCAAAATTCCTTCTATTTGCGGTTTTGTTGATTTAAAGGAATTATTATCTTCTGAAACATTGGACAGAATTTGTTTTAGAGGAAAAGCGCACTCACTCATCGGGAATTACTTATCAAACCGCACACAGTCTGTCCAGATATCCAGACCATCTAGCAAGGAAATGGAACAGCCTTAGGTCCACTGATATTTAATATATGTATATTTAAATAATATTTTCCAAATTAATTGTGTTGGCAAAATAACCAGTATTGCAGATGATACTGCAATATTATACGAAGACAGTGACTGGACTATTCGGTGGTTTCATAGCAGAAAATTGGGCATTACCTATTCTAAATTTTATCATTTGCATCCTATGCTAGACATTTGCCAAATTATACAGATATCTCCTTCAACATTCATGATCAAAAACTGCAAATTAATACAGTGCCAAACATAAAATACCTTGGAATAATTTTGAATCCTCACTTAAGTTCCATGACAATTATAATTCAAGGAAAGTTAGATTTGTATCGTGTGAAGTTAAATATCTTATGGATATTCTGTCAGAAAGGTGTCTTCGTACATTATGTGATACACTGATTGAGCCTCATTTTACATATGGTACATTAATGGGGAGCTGCATGTTCATCACATATCTGTAATTTAGATGTTTTTCAAAAAATAATCGAAAAATGATTAAAAAAAACGAATGACAAATTTTACGCAAATATAAAAATGTCTGATATAAGGCACTTTCATTTCTTAGACATTATCCCACACTACCATAAATTTGTCAACACCGACCAAAAAATTTAATAATCATTATACAAGGTACAAAATCCGTAGCATAGTATTTCTGTGGCCACATAAATCTATAATGCAGCAGTCATATCTCTATTTAGCGCCAAAGGTTTATCAAATTATACCTAAAGATTTACATTTCAAGATACATTTGAAAAAGTGACTACACTCTGTATATAGGACTGACAGCCCTAAGCTCATAAATGCAAACATCAAGTAAATGTATGGTCCACTGTGACTAATTCTTACCCTTTTTTATAGTTTGCACTTTACAGTTACAGCTGTATGTCTATGCACAGGAAATGCCCCCTATCGGGCTTGTTTTTATTTTATATTTATTTACTCATGTTGTTTTCTGTGTACATTGAGTGAATAAATATTATTATTATTATTATTATTATTATCATTATTATTATTATTATTATTATTATTGATGAATTGATGGCTTTGGAGAGTGACGAATATCAAGCACTGCTTACCAAGGATCAGGCGTTTGCGTCTGTTATAAGAAGGTAGTATGACTTATCAGAAAGTCCACTGCTTTAATATAATTTGTTGAAACTGGTGACCACGTGTTTAAACTAAATTATGCATGAACAAAAGCATACTGAGCTCCTTTATTAATCTGAGAGGCTACACGAATTCGACAATATCTTATTGTTCAATATGGATTCTCTTGTATTATTACCCTCTAAGTCGTCTAAGATATCATTACCAGCCAAAGGTGCGGATCAATCGGACAATACCATTTTTCCTGCTCATTGGTATTTTCAGTTAATAGGCTATACGCCTTAAAAACTTCTTTTGTATGCGCTCTATTGCATTGGAGATTTAGGTAAGAGATCTCATAGATTTCACACATAGTGCAAAATTACAATAAAAAATAGATTAACTTCCATAACAAGAAACAACTGGCAAGAATCTTACATGCTGGACTGGTGTTGCACAATGCTGTATCTATACTTGGGTATCGAAAAGGAAGGGAGCAGCGGAACACAGCGCACACCTCTGCTAGCGCGGCGCCTGTTTGAATACGACGGGATTCTCGCGCATGGACTTTTTCAGTTCAAAGGCATATCGCGTCAGCAGTGGCGAGCATTGCATGCGGCTGATCTCTTCATTTCGTCATCAGGGTTTAGTATGTTTATTAGTGAATACTATTTTACTGTTATTTTAGTGCTAGTTTCATAAAATGCATTGGACATTAGACATCAGTTATCAAATAATTGTCCTCTTCTAGATATATTATGAGGGTTCTAATATCAATCAAGCTTCACACATTGTTCGGTTTCTTCTCCAAATACATTTTTTGCAAACATGCTGTTATGTCTTTATACATAGCGAGGTTCATAACTGACCATTTATCGTTGTTCATCACGTCTTTGGAATCGCGTCCTTCTGTGGATGTCGGATTTCAATTTTTGTGTATCCTTTGTAGCACCTTACTACATCGAATCCATTACACCTGCAAGTACTGCGGACCGTTGTGGCGCTCTATCTGCTGGTGACAGGCTTCTAGCGGTAGACGAAGTTCCTTTGAGAGGCTGGCGTGGTTCACCACTGGACGTACAGAGGCTGCTGCGTACTGCCACTAGGCTGCAAGTCATACCTGCACATGCTATGGCGAGGAGGGCTATGGCAGCAATCACGGACGCCACTGGTAGAGGTAATTTGAGTTGCATCTTTGCTCATGATAGTTTTGTAACGTGCTGCCACAGATTAAATAAAATAACAGTGCGTGGTGTCAAATTATTCGTAGGAAAATGGTCTCTTAGAAAAAGCCGACGTGCCACCCTCGTTCTATTTGGAAAAATTAAGTAAATTGAAAAAATTGGTGTTTGCAACTTTATAAAGTCTTTAAAATGACTGTAAGGACGTCCGACTCAAAATCGTATTTTTCCCGTGTTACTTGATAAAAAATGAAGCGATTTACAGGATACATAGCATTCTAGATCGAAAAATAAAACTTGAAATAAAAATAAATGACTGTAAAAATATATAGGGTGTCCCATTTAAAAATCAAGTTGGAGTCGATTCTGGTCAAACCGGAAGTACTTTAAAGTGAATATGTTAAAAAATGTACATTCATCTATAATACGCAACCCCAAATTTCAATTTTCGATCTTCAATAATAAAAAAGTTATAGTGGTGAGCCACCTTGGAGAATCACCCGGTATAAAAAGTGGTACTTGTTGTTAGTTTGACACTATAGAGCACATCTGATGTTTACACAGGAAAAAAGGCAAGGGAGGATCTCCGAGGAGGACTGCCCCCAGAGCGGAAATACCTCCACGACTCGACTCAACTAGTTTTTATAATAATGATTAGTGCTATCCTCACTTTGAATAAGAAGAATACAAAATTGCTGATTATGCATACACACCAGCGGTGTATGTACAACCTTACAACGTGTCATGGAAAATTTGAAAATAGCTATGCTTGAATGCGTGAGAAGTACCGAGTTCATCTACCCTACTCTACCTTTTTTAATAAATCATCCATAGCTGCAAAAATATTATAGTATTTCGAGATTTTTCTGCCTTTGAGGACAATCATACTTGTCTCATAGAACACAAACATTTGAACCTTGGTTAACTTCCCTGGGAATGCCAGAATTTTTGGAAATCTTTATCATGCTCTCCTTGGTCTTTATATTCTCTTGTGAGTTTGACTCATGGTATTGGGACCTCAACATGTTTCTTGAAGTGTTTGATTTCCACATACTCATAAGATATTTTGGGTTAAAAGCTACCGTGTAATTTATTTTACAGGTCAATATGCAACTTGTCACAGTCCATCAAGCTTCAGTACATGGAGTTCCAGACGTTCTAGAATAAATAAAAACAACAGACTCAATAGACAAAGTACAATGATTACGCAGAAGACGTTTGATACCGACTGTAGTAAGTATATTAGATACATTTGTACAATTCTTCGTCGTGCCAAACAAATTATAAGACCATATATTTTCAATAATATTTCATTAGCGTATTTTAGAATTTTAACACTATAAACATTTTTGCTATAAAACTTTCATGAGTAGTGGAGTTCTCGAAGTTCTCGACTTATTTTATATTGAAATTCCAATAAACATCAATGTTTACTAACACCAGCGTTACTAATGCTCGAGACTCATAATCAGGCGATTTTATTCAATTCATAAAACACCATCTTTGAAGCTCTAGTTGAACATGTTGCACAACGCACACCTTTATAATGGTTACTAAAATATAACGGGACGAACTAAAAAAGAATAATGCAGATGATAACACTTTTCAACGGGAATTTATAACTTCCCGTGTGTTATTCCTGGCCACCTTCGAGACACCGCGCATTAAGGCCAATAAACACATCCAAATGGATTTGGCAGAAACATGGAAAATGGCGCTTCTCCTATGAAAACGGTGATACAGTGGCGTATCTTTTAGAAAGTATCACGTTCTTTGTTATCCTACATTACTTCAGGAATTTTTCGCGCAATTAAAAAGTAACCAAAAGCTGGAATTTTATTTTTTCAGAACCACTTATCGAGATGGTGATATTAGAATATCTTTTGGCTATTTGATACGGCGTCAGGGGTGGAGCCAGGGATGAGACATTTGTATCACTGACATAGGTGCGGATTAAGTTTCATACTCCGTATACACCAGTATAGATATTTAGTACTCTCAAATCTTACCGAATTTGCTATTTAGCTGATTAAAGTACGTAAGATTTTATTAGTTTTTTAGATTCCATACCAGTTCGCGATGTAACCGGTAGGCGATGTAGGCCTTTGGTCTAATACTGGCGTAGAAATAAATACCGGGTGATTCAAATTGAGTTTCTACATTACAAGTAAATTACAAAAATAACCCGAACACCATTGCGGAGGATCAGACGCGAAATTACCAATATAGGACCCGATTTGTGCCATAGAGTAGTTGAAAATTTTTCGAGACGGATTACGTCATGCCACATGAGCCGCTGCAGTCAAGTAACTACTTGATATCATATTTCATGCATAATTGCAATGAACTACCCTCAAAGGGAAAATAAATATTTTTCTTTATAATTTTCAATTTCTCCTTTTTTTAAAAATACTTTTAATGTGGAAACTCAATTTGAATCACCCATTACTATGTGCGAACCATCTGACGTGGATGATTGAGGCTGTGTTGCCAAACTTCAATAAAATCGCTACATTTATACTGAGTTGAACGGAGTTCAGTTGTTTTCTTTTGGTGGTTACGTCAAAAAGTCATACGAAATAAATATTAAATATATCGTCTCAAGTCCAAGCTCGGCTCAACTAGTTTTTATAATAATTAGTTCTATCCTCACTGTGATTAAGAAGAACACAACATTGCTGATTATGTATGTGCACATCAGCGGCCCATGTAAAACCTTACAACGTGTCATAGAAAATTTGAAAATAGCTATGCTTGAATGCCTGGGAGGTATCGAGTTAATCTCCCATACCTTTTTTAATAAATCATCCAGAGCTGAAAAATATCTTAGTATTTCGAGATTTTCTACCTTTGAGGGCAATCATACTTGTCTCATACAATACAAACATTTCAACCTTGGTTAACTTTCCTGGGAATGCCAGAATTTTTGGAAATCTTTATCATGCTTCCCTTGGTCCTTTATTTTCTTGCGAGTTTATTACAAAAATAACCCGAACACCATTGCGGAGCTTAAACAGGAGATCAGACGCGAAATTACCAACACAGGACCTGCCACAGAGTAGTCGAAAATTTCTCGAACTACTTCCAAAGGGCAATAAATATACTTTTTTTAATTTTCAATTTCTTATTTTTTTAAATACTTTTTATGTGGAAACTCAATTTGAATCGCCCTTTACTACCATCTGGTTGATTGAGGCTGTGTTGCCAAACTTCAATAAAATGTGTGGAAAATGCTACATTTATACTGAGTTGAACGGAGTTCAGTTGTTTTCTTTTGGTGGTTACGTCAAAAAGTCATACGAAATAAATATTAAACATATCATCTCAAGGCCAATCTATCTAGATAACTGGTGATCATTTCAATTGGACCGACGATTGGAAAATAAGCAATTTTAGGCAGGTTTTGCAAATACATATCTTCTCTTTCAAGAAGTATATATTATAACTTTATTAAACGAAAAATAAATTTTGTAGAGATAGTAGATTTGAACAAATAATGAATTCATCCAACAGAATAAGAACAGTACCTGTTTAGACGCATCAGCTGTATTGTTTACGCCATGTTTTTGGAGTCATTTTTATATCTCTCGCCAATTTTCTCTGTATATATCTACTCATTGCCGTGACCAGAGACGTTTTACTATATTTCACAGAGATTCTATATCAATGCAATTGAACAGTTTGTCCGAACTAGATGACTTATTTTGACAGTACATGATTTCGTATCCAGTGTGCGAGCGCATTCACAGTAAGTACAGAAAGCTGTTTCCTAAGTATTATCCAGGGAATTCAGTAGCTGCAAAAAAGATTTAGAATGAAAACCACGCTTTATCACTATCCTCTTAAATATATATAATTTGCCATTTTTTCTCTCATATGTTATTATAACAAAAGAAACAGAATTTATCATAAAACAGGATCGCAAAGGTTCTGGAGTTCAAGATAGTTTTTTTATATTTTGGGTATGCAAATCCATCCCCTGCAGGCTTGTCTGTCTGTGGGCGTTCTTGTAACCGCGCATTTTTAAGAAATGTCTAGACCAATTTCTATGAAAGGAGGAATATGCCACGGTGGAAGTACTTCGCTTTGAAAAATGGTTTCATGGTGGAGGAGCGACATTTCTTTTTGGGAAGGGTTCAGGAATATATTATTTAGATTATAGTAGTTAGATTTTTCTATTTTTTTCAGATTTTGCTAAAAATATTGTCATGTTTTTTTAATCACCCTGTAGATATCACAAAGAGTTCATTAAACGTGGCCGAGGCTGCCTTCTTACAGATCAGATACATATTATAATTTCGAAATGAGAAATATATCTTCGGAGTGTATTAAGACATATTGATTTAAAATTGTATACATGTAGTACTTATAGCATAGCTAATATGTACAGGGTGGACAACTAAGAATGAGAGGTACTGTATCTGGGAACCTATCCATCGTAGAGGCATGCAGCAAAAAAGTACTTACGAAAATGGACAAGAAAAAACCTGGAAAATATTTCCAAGTTTCTGGGGCATAACTGCAATCTTGTATTTAAAAAAGTGATATTTCCATGAATTCCGCTATATTAACCTAACATAAAATACTTGATCTTTGGAGTTAGGGATAATAATAATAATAATAAAAATTTGGTTTGACAATTTTTGCTGTATCTTTAAAAATACAGTGGTGGGGGTATTCAAAGGTTTACGTAAACAACACCCTGTATCTTCGAAAAGGCAACTTGGGCTATTTGAAAAGAGCTATTTTTGGGCTACAACTGCTATAAGTTTCTTAGTTTCACATGAGGCAGCTAGAGGGCTTTCTCGTTATTCCGACAGAACTGGTTAACTTTATCCAAAAAAATTAAATGGATTGGTATGATTTTTTTATGAAAAGTAGCTAAATGACGTCTAAACAAGATCGCGAAAACCGCATCTCTATATATTGTTCCTAACCTAAAATTTAGGGCAAAGAAAATTTTATTTTTTTAAACTAACTTTAAATTCTTTTTTATTCATCAGAATATAATTTCCCTTTTTGAAAATTACAAAATATCGCTAAAAGGAAAGTAAGTAATGCTAAGAATAAAAGGCATATTTTTTGATTATATGCATATTCACTATGGGTATATACGAAAAAAACAATAATTAATAGAAGCAGGTCATGAAATACAACAAAACAAATACATAATCCTCAAATTGTCAATAGGTTCGCGCTACTTTGAGCAATTTTTGTGTTTACCAAATACGTTTTACTAACGATGAAGCTTATGATGTGCTTGCAGTTCATTTTGAATGTATTCAGAATATAGTATCAAAAAGATAATATCCACCGCGTACTGAGATATATTGAAGGAAATCCTCATGTTAGCACAAGGGCATTATCCCTTGAGTTGGGCATATCACAGCGGTTCAAAATATTTTGAAGGTAAGCTCTAATGCCCATCAAACTATGGCTATTTGTTTATATTTAATTTTTTTTATTACTTTTAGAATGCACCCATATCATGTCGTTTTGCATCAGGCTTTGGAAGAGAAAGACTTTGATCGGAGGTTGGACTATTGCCAATGGATGTTAGGCATGGTTCGCAAAAATAGAGAATTTTTATTTCAAACTTTTTGGCCCGATGGAGCCACCTTTAATAGTGACGGGAGAGTCAATCTGCACAGTATGCAGTGCGTTGGAGTTTAAATGCGTGGTGTGGCATACTGGGAGGCAGAATTATTGGGCTATATTTTTTCCTAAGTGGCGATGTCTTTCTTGACCTTTTGGACAATCAATTATCGTTGTAGTTGGAAGATGTGCCACTGGAAATACGGCAAAACTGGTTTTTGGTTGCCCGGCATGTTTTGCTATTATTGTGCGAGAGCTATATAATATTTCAACAGCGGTGGATTGGAAGAGGAAGTCTTATTCCATGGCCTTAGCGATCACGCATTTTTATTTATGGGGACAGTAAAAGGACATCGTGTTCCAGACTCAACCTACAACCAGAGAAGATATGAAAAACTAGATTCGTAATGCAATACGTAACAAACCGAGAGCAGAAATTGAAGCTACAGTTTCGTCTACCCATGAGAAGCTTCAGGAATGCACAGAGCGTGATGGTCAGCATAAATTATCAAACAAAAAAGGCTCAGATTATCTTCGACTGTAAAGATCAGGCATTTTTTGTTAGATTAATATAGCGAAATTCACAGAAACATCCCTTTTTTAGATTCAAGATTGTAGTTACGCCCCCTAGCGGCCATTTCAAAAACTTGAAAACATTTTCCAGGTTTTCTCTTGGCCGTTTTAGTAATGACTGTGTTTGCTGGATAGGTTCCCAGATACAGTACCTCGGATTCTTAGTTGCCCACCCTGTACATACAAAGGCTTTCGTTCTTAAGAACACACAAACGGTGTAGATGTTAATAAATCTTGACACCCAAGAAAGAAAAAAACTAGTGTCAACGCCATTGACTTTCTTGAAATACCTATTGCATTTTTGAGTACTATAGTTGACTTTACATGGATCGTTACTCTTGGGAAATTTTTGTTAGAGTACTACTTTGTAGGAAAAAGTTTGAGGCAATATTCGCATAGAAAACCTCAACCCGTTCTATAGGTCTTTTCATAGTTTTCGCCTGCTTACAGTAGGACTGACTATAGGAATTACTTTCAAACATCAATTTCTCCGAGACGTGCATATGTAAACAGCTTCTATGCGCGGACATTTACTTGTGCAAACTCAAAGATATAGGTTCTTAGTGTTGTCTCACCGACTTACAAATTTGCTGTTGATCTTCGACTAAAAACATGATAGCGCCTAAAACTACAGAAACTTTTAACAGCTTTTTCTGAACGTGAATGGGAACAACGGTCCTCTTTCACCTTATTCATGTGTGCATGTGTAAAAGCGAATAAGAGCTGGGTTACGGATTATTTTGCGCAGTGTGCAATTACCCTTAGGGGTACACGTTCTATTGGTCAAACGAATTACTTATTTCGTGTGACATTGTGACGTAACCGCAAAAAAACCGTGAAAAGAGCTATACTTATAAAATACGCCAAGGTTTAGTTTTTGTATTTGAAAATGGTATAAGGAGAATATCTTACCGTAGCCAAAATTCACGTTTGGTCCTTAATCAGTCGTAGCAGTAGCGTAGAAGTTGGCACACCCTGACTCTTGGTGGATATTTGGGACATTTTAGAATAGAAGTAGACGTCAAGCTGGAAACGGTAGATAGGAAAAGTCATAGTAGTTATTAGAGAAGTAGAAAGAATGTAAGTCGTGTACTTTTCAAATCATAGGCTTCAAAGAAATCGTAAAAGTCGGAAAAATGTACACCGTGTGATGATTATTTGGTTCCCATTACTACAGATTTAATTTTTTTCTTAGACCGAGTGACGGACAGCGTCGTCCTGCATAGTGACAGCAAGACGGTAACGCCACTTTTATTAATTCGTGAATGCGTTTAATAAATTCATAATAATTGTTCAAAATGCCTTCATTCAGCAGCAATGCAAACTTGACATCTTAAAAATGATCGGGTTATCAGATGGGCGAATCATCCGTTATAACAAATTCAGCTGCTCCCATTATTCTGTCCCGTAGCTGAGTTAAATTTCGATTGGCTTTGGGTAAACTTCTACTTTCACCGCTCCTCAGTAAAAAGATCGAGTGAATTTGAATCAGCTGAACGAGCTGGCTACGAAATTGTACCAGATCGCCCTATATATCTGCCTGGGTATTCCGCATCAAGAGGATCTAATTGAACGTGCATAGTGCACCGAGCAGCCGTTTTGCTGGTACGACATGTCTTCCAATAAATTTTGTTAAAAGTCTAAATAAATTTTGCCATTCAAGAACTCTGGCAGCTCAAGGGGTACACAAAGGGTACAATGACTCTCCCATTTAGAATTATCACATTCATTCTTCTAGCATCAAGATTTTAGACTCTTACTTATCCGACAGAGAACAACTAGTACGTTTCAATGGCTGTAACTCTGATACCAGATCAGTGATCCTTGGAGTTCCTCAGGGTTCCGTACTGGGACCATTGCTGTTTTTATTATAAACTAACGTTATCCCTAATAGCCTGTCAAATACGCACAATGCTGCTTTGTGTTTATATGCTGATGACACTACTTTGGTAAATTCTAATAAATAAATACCCTTGTCGAAACCAGCTCATTGTGTAAGCCGGACCATGAGGATTGGTTTGCTGCCAATATGTTATTGCTCAATACTGATAAAACTCAGTTTATAATACTGAGCTTACGCAGTTATGAGTTGGAATCTGCTCAATCAGTGAAATTGCTAGGAGTACATATTGACTGTACTCTGACATGGGAGGTGCATACTCGCTGTGTGGTGGATCGTTTGCGCAGAGTTATATATCTCATACGTAGTCTAAACGATAGAGTATCTGATAAACTCTTATTAACTGCTTATCATGCATATTTCCACTCTAAAATGACATATGCAATTTTGGTCTAGGGACACTTTCCACATATGCAAAAAGTGTTTGGCATGTAAAGCCGTGGTATCCAATACATATCTGGTTTGAAATTCAGACACCTCTGAAAGGCTGAACTCATAAAGTTGGCGATACTAAACCTTCCATGCGCGTATATTTTGAGTTGTCTCCTATATATCAAACGTAACATTAGTACCTTCCCCATTCATAGTGATAACCACAATTATGAAACACGAAATAGAAACAACATTTGTCATAATAACTACCGTCTAGAAAAATCAAGAGTTGGAACAAACTTTTTAATAGGAAACTCCAAGTATTATTTAATAAAAAACGCACGAACGAATATTTGGCAAATGACTACTCAATACCTTAAATGTTTATTTATTTATTTCTCTGTCCAACTTGTGTACATTTGTTATTATTTTGCTTGTCTGTATGTGTATAGTTAATTGTATTATACATATATTTTTCTAAGCGATCTTCTTTTATCTCATGACGACATTTTGTATTGTTTTTTCTTCATCAATTTGTTTTTAGTAATTGTGCGTTACGCAGCATTGCATTGTTTTAACTTTTTTATCCATGTCTGATGTAGTTATTTTTAAGCGTTCTATAGTATATATTGACTTGTGTAAACACTTTCTGTGTATTAACATCAATAAATTATTATTATTATTATTATTATTATTATTATTATTATTATTATGATGGAATTCCGGTCCACATGTTTAAAACGATACTGTGATCTATCTTGTTTCATCAAATGTCGATTTTCTACATCAGTCGATAAAATTTTCTCTAAAAATCGCGGATCTTCCCGGTGTCTCTATAGCATTGTATGACAAAACTCAATTCTTCGAAGCTAATCCCGGGGTTATAGAGATTGTAGTCGCGTTCATCGTACGGAGCTCAAACTTTTGCAAGATTCGGTGGGCTGTACCGCTGTGGACTTCCGCCCTTGCTTCTATTTGTGCTTTATTTGGATATAGTCCCTTTGAGAGTAAACGGAGCAGATACACAAAAACTCGGTGATCGGGATGACAATTATAGCGTTGCATCTACATTGCACATAAATGACTGATGACGGCGTACACAAACATGGGCACTACATAATCTTGAATTAATACAAGTGGCGATAATATCTGTCTTGCTGTCACTACGTAGAATGACACTGTCCGTTACCCCACGGAAAAGTTGAAATTTGTAGTAATGGGAATTAAACACAGGGTGTAGATGCTTCCGATTTTTTAATGTATACGATTTTTTATTATTTGTCTGATAACTAGTATGACTTGGACTATCCCCCGTTTCCGGCTTGACAGCGACTTCTGGGACACCTTGTATATTCATAGAAACTTGGTTACGGCTGAACTATATTTTAGCGCATATCGGAAATATTTTATTTATTATTTTAAAATGAAAGATTAGGATGTAACTTGTACGAAAATATCATTTTTTCTTAAGGAACCCAGTGCTTGGTATTCTATAGAACTTTGAAGTTGCATTTTGGGTAGTAATAATGTGTGTATAGAATACTGCTTTGTAAGCTGGTTTTTCTTGTTTACACACAAAAGTGCTCAAAATTATATGAATATAACATACACTGTATATTATTGTAACACCATTCACCGCAATAATGCAATTCTGCATTGTTTAATGATAAACATAGATCATTGTTAAGTAGTAATTTCGTATATTTCAAGTAAATATCCCCATCACTACACCACCATAGCTATCACAATTTCTCCACCTAGTTGCAATGTTGCCAAATCATGAATAGTAATATACCTTGATTTGGTTTGTCAAATTTATACTTATATACAATTTGGAGGTGTGGCCGGCAGGTTTTACTGTACTAAATTTACCTCGTGCCCTACGATAGCGCTAGCTAAATACACTATTCTGAAGAATGCAATATGCCCTTCCCAAAAATACTTCAGTTACTATTTTCCCTATATTATCGTGATAGTCTATTTACTTTTTGTATGTATGTACTTGAAGAATTGTTTAAAGTGAAGCTGATGTCACAAAATATACCTAATTAGATGTGATATATATGATATATGAGAAATTACCGAAAAAGTAGCTGTTGCCAGTCACTAAATAATGCAAACATAACAAAGAACTCTGCGGACGTGGTTCAAATCGACGAATAGAAGTTGCAGTAATTTCAGGAAGACATTGAAAAATCATAACACAATACCTCTACACAGTTTTCCAAGTAAATATCATTATTTACGTATATAGGGTGACTTGAAGTTGAGTCATTAATTTTCAGATAATGATTGTAGGAGGAAGATAAACCAAAATATGTGTGTAAAAATAAAAAAAAATAAAAAAAAATGTTACCTTGTTTTATAAAGTATCCTCCCGACAAGTATTTCAGTGCGGACCTGTATTGATCGTGCGGTCTTGGAGCACCAGCATGTCCTCCCCTGTGAGGTCTTAAGTCACCTGATTCACGAGGCCTTTGTACTACATTAACAAAGTCACGAGGGGTTGGTTGCACTCGATTGGGAAACCGATCCGTATAAATCCGTGATGCCGCCCCGTAAATAAGAATCATGTCCACAAGTTCAGCATTTTCGTAAACATGTGCCATTTTTTATTCGTTTGAGCCACGCAACAAACACCACTATTCACTTACGCGTTACCGACTGAATACAACTGAATAAAATTGTAGTAAAAACATCGTGATAAGCGTTTCAAATTCTTTCGCCTTTTTGCTTCCGATGCGATGAACCGATAAGGCGGATTATATCCGTTGTTGCCAACACGAGCACATAATATTATTATTGAGAGAGGGCGGTACTCAAACTTCTAAAGGGCTTAAACTTTGTTACTTTAATTTTACCACAAACATGTTAAAGGAAAAAACATTTCTTTTGATCAGATCTACTCACTGTTAAAATAAATGACTCAACTTCGCAGTCACCCTGTATATTTTAGATTATTACATGACTAGTTTTGAACCTTTTCTTTGCAAAGCAACGATTTATAGTTTCACATCAGTTTTCCTTAAAAAATGATCATTTCTACCGATTTCTTTAATTTTTTTCCGAATTAAAACAAGAATTTGGCCATTATGCGCTATAGGTAGTATTGGGAACTGTCATTTAGCTTATGATCCGGTTAATTTTTTAACCTTTCTCTTTGAAAAACCAACGACTTTTTACAGTTTCACATCTATTTTCCTTAGTACTATCCATTGTATGTTATGTTCTCATAATTTGGAGCATCCTTTTGTGCAAAATGCCAAAAAACCAGCGTATAAAACAGTATTCTAGTCTAGAGTATTACCACCAAAAATACAACTTTGAAATTCTATAAAGTAGCAAGCAGAGGGTTCCTTAAAGAAAAAATGATATTTCGTAAAAGTTACATGCTAATCTTTCATTTTAAAATAAGAAATGAAATATTTGCGATATGCATGCCTTTACCCTTGGTTATTTTTGTATGTTATTTCTGCTCTAGAAATATTGCCATTGATTATATAAAAATATGACTGGAGATTGTTTATGTGACTATTTCCGCGTAAAACCGTTGTAAGAAACTTGTTTCACCATGTTTCTTGCTCTGAAAAGACAATGTGACTATCGAATGGTCACGGAGAGACGTTGTCAAAAAAAATGTGATATCTTGTATAACAGCTACGCGTCAATGCCAAAAGTGTAATTTTTTGTCACCGAATTTCAATTGAGGTTTGACAATGACTAAACAAGTAACCTGAAAATTATAGTGAAAAAAATTAGAAATGCTAGAAGAATAGCATTAAAAAATGACCACATCAATTACGAATCATTATTCGCTGTTACTGTTAGTGCAGTATTTTGGAGATCAAGTTACATACTTACCAGAAACCTGCTCTCATGGAAAAGTGAAGAATACTGCTGTAGAATGATAAGCCTTCTCCACGGTTTCGTTGTAGCTTTTATTGGAATCAACCAGTGCTTTATGATAGACTCTCCATTTGACCATCCAGAATGGAGAACCACCTATATGCAATCCTTCCTTATGGTAGCTAGCTTAGGATACTTCATGCATGATCTGGTGTGGTGCTTTGAATACCAATCCACAGATAAACTAATGATAGCACATCATATGTATAGTATCCTCGCCCTCCTTAGAATGTTGTTTAAGGATACTCTGGAGCGCAGGCGACTTGTGCCTTAGGTAGCATGGAGATCACCAATCCCTACTCCAAGCAAGATGGTTTATAAGAAGTGAAGGAATGTTCCCTTCTGTATTGTTTACATCAGTGGAAACTACTTTTATAATAACCTTTGTGCTAGTCAGGATAGTATTAGGGACGTACTATATTATAAAGATAGTCAAACAACCGAAAAACGATTGGGACTTTATACTTATGTCGTTTGCTATATACATAATGTCTTGGATGTTTTGTTTCAATATTGTAAAATATGTTTTGATTAAATATGGAGGATTGAAAAGAAAACTCGAAGATTTACATAATAAAGGTTCTTGAAGAAGCGATTGACTTTGTTGTCGTCTTTATCTTGGTTTGGAAACTTCCATAAACGAAGTCGCTTAGATGAGGGCAAAGTTGCGTATTCAGGTAATCAAAAGTCGTTCTAATTTTACCCGGTTTTATTTGTTGTCGGGATTCAAAATCAATTCCCCATTAACATTGCCACTGGTTCTCTTCTACAAGATAATAGTATAGATAAGATATAAGAATTTCAATATTACGTTTTCTTATAGACAAATGAATATAATTTTAATTCTGATTCCAAAAATGGTTATTACGTCATACATTGAAGCAGAATATCCGACAGGTAGGCCTTCCATTGTTTTGCTGCCAGATTTATCCCAAAATCACTTTTATTTTCCTCGATTTACTTGAGATGGGATTCCAAATTAATGGCATGTTAACATAGCCACCTTTTCTTACAAGATGGCATAACTAGAATTTCAATATAACGTTTCGTCACTCATCTTCCACCCTCAACATCATTTTGCTTATAGACGCCATACAGACATTAGCGCAGATAAATAGAGTTTTTAATTTGAAAAATTTATAATACATTGACATTGCCAAACCATAGTTTATTCCAGAAAAACAGAAGTTCCTAGCAGGCCTTGAAATTATGAGATTTCATTTGTTCCATATTCCACAGACCTCAAACTGAACATAGCAACATAGCAACAGAGCTTGGGAGACTGAGGAAAACAGAAATAAATCGAATAGTGAACAATGTCCAAAGAAAATCAAGATTTTACTAAGAAATAACTTATAACATTTTAACAGCCATTATCCCTGCTTATTTATGATTATTGTTGCTATTTACTATCAATAAGATGTTCATTTTGTGATCAGGTTTCACCGTGCCTTTTTATTTCCTTATAATTTTCATCGAGCAACAAATTCTTGGACATCTAAGGAAATACGAGTATATCACTGAATTTAGGATTGAAAAGTCTATTTAATTTAATTCACAAAATTTCAATATAGCGTCCATATGAAAAAACAAAGTTGGTGATGGAAGTTGAAAGAAGCAATGTCGAATTGAACATTTGACTACGCCATTTTGTAGAGGAGACCAAGTAGTAATCAGAATGTACAATCCATTTTGAAATTCCATCTTATATAAAGTCAGGAGAAAATAAAAGTGATTTTGGGATAAACGTGTTATGCGAAACTATCTGATAATTTCAAGGCCTACCTAGGAAATTCTGTTAATTTTGAAATAACTGAGGATTGGCAATGTCAACGTATTATACCTTTTTGGAAACAGATTGGAAAATGCTAGTCATCTGTGCAAAAATCCAATATGGCGCTTATAAGAAACATAATGTTGATGCTGGAGGGCAACAGACGAAACGTCATATGAAATTCCAATTATGCCTTCTTATAGAAGTAGGAATGTTATTGTGCAATGCATTTTGAAATCCCGCGACAAGTAAAGCCAGGAAAACATTAAAACGATTTACGGAGAATTAGTTTTTTGCGACTCTCCCCGGAAGTACTTTGAATTTCGAGACTTTTTAAGCGGCATTTTGTTGATTAACTGAATACACAACTTTGCCCCTATTTAAGCGACTTCGTACCTCTTACAGTTTTTGAGATCCCAAGGTAAGGGTCAAATTTGATATATTGCACATGTAGCTGTTTCATATCGTCGCTACATTCACTCTTTAGCAGGCCCGTAGCCAGGATTTGGAGTCGATTTACAAATTGCTCAAGGCTCATAGTCAGCGGTGCGAAGGAAGGTTAAAGTTAAGGGGGGGTTGGGGGTTGGGGGAAGGAGTTAAGCACGAATTAGTGTAAGAAAAGGAGAAATAAGCTTATGATTTTAAATCAATGTAATAGAAAGAAATGTATGAACTTATTGTAGAGCTATAGACTTATTCATCTATATGTGTAAATATATGTGGTAAAAACCTGAGAATAGCACCTTTAACTCTAAAACTTTCACCCTGTACTATCAAGAAAGCAATCTCCTACATTTTTTTCCGATAAAATGTCTAGGACGTGATTAGGATCGACAGCAATTCCCAGTGAACAGAGATCATAGCGAGTGAACTCAAGCTTTCATGGCCCATACACTTTGCGGTAGAGTTTTAATTCTTTTCATAGTGGAAAACGATCTTTCTACGCTAGCTGTTGTCACTGGTAAAGTGGCTAAGGTAGTTAGAAGTATTCTGATACCAGGAAATAGTTTCCATTGCAATACTCCAACAGTTTTTAAAGCCTCGGTTGATTGATCAATGGACGATATATTCGCACACCACAACCTAACATATATTCTGCCTTCACTGCCGTTGATGATATCTTACGTCGAAGAATGGCGCTAAGTTGTCTAACTCATCGGCATTGCTCACATTAGCAAATCCTGGGAGGAGAAGTTGGAAGCTTGGTAGGATTCTTCAGTTTTCCAGAAATCGTTCTGTTAATTTTTCAACCAAGGAATCGATGCACGGTAGAAATACTGAAATTCTGAAATACGTTTCATTTGTTGCCGTTTGCGGGCTAGCACGGTTTTTTTGGCGTGAGACAAACGCTCGGAGCTCAAATTTCAGTGTCGAATAAGTCTTCAGCAAGATTTGAAGCAGACAAAGGATTCCTCAAAGAAATCATCAGCAGATTCCTAATTTCACGCAAAGACTGTATTATTTCCTTTGTGCGGTTGATAGCGGAGATGAAATCTAAAGACTTTTCTTGGAGAAACACTGACAATGGAAGAGTTAAACCAAGCAGTTTTTCACGTACCGAAAGACCCACAATAAGTCACTTTTTTGAATTGCAGCAAAAAGAGCAGATGCTGTTGATGGCGATGCATTCAAAAGTTCCAAT